CGTAGAAGTATCGTTAACTTTGTAAATAGCGAATTGAAATTTTCACCACTGTTCATTTGAACTTTATGCTCTGGCGTGACGATTTGTTTTACAAAAGGCAATGGGTTCATTACGTGAATATCATTTTCCATAATGTGAGGGCGACGGTTAAATCAAAGGTTGTACGTGTAGTGAAAAAGTCCTTCCCTACACGCACTGAATCAGTAGGCTTGAATTCCTGTCGTATATATCTGTCTTAGGTCATCATCATATCATGACACGATCGTGTGACGATGCGTCAACGTTGATATCACATGTCCGATGAGTGATTCCTGCAGCAGTAAACGCCGTTAAGCACAAACTGTCAATATAGTCATTAGGTGTGCAAACTTAATTTGGGTGGTGTATATAATCAATGTTATGATTACAAACGTGATGTAAGGGAAACCAACATATTGGCTAACGCCTATGAAGAAAACACAAAAGGATTTCGGTCATAGATTTGTCTTCTCCTATAATTATTCCTGATGTTGTTTTAAATGCTATACAGGGGGCGGGGAGAGAGAGAGAGAGAGAGAGAGAGAGAGAGAGAGAGAGAGAGAGAGAGAGAGAGAGAGAGAGAGAGAGAGAGAGAGAGAGAGAGAGAGAGAGAGAGAGAGAGAGAGAGAGAGAGAGAGAGAGAGAGAGAGAGAGAGAGAGAGAGAGAGAGAGAGAGAGACAGAGAGAGAGAGAGAGAGACAGAGAGAGAGAGAGAGAGACAGAGAGAGAGAGAGAGAGACAGAGAGACAGAGAGAACTTCTGTTTCATGAGGATTCAGAGACAACATGAAAATAGCAGCACATGAACAGAATCATAATCCACTCAAGTTCATTAAAACTAGGGCATATATAAACAAAGGAAAAAACACGGACACTTCTATAAAAAAGCAAGGAAAATAAGACCAGATGTTCTGTAAGAGTAAGCGTCTTCTGCTTCATTGACAACACATATCATGTAAATCTTTGTAATCCTAGTAAACAATATTACGTTCTCAGATGAGGGCAGTGTATACAACTTTTACTGCATATAGGATTATACATACATCACTTAATAGCAATGATGAAAGATATCATTTTAAAATTTACAGGTTACAATAATATATACGTAATAGATATCCTTGCAGGGGAACGGGAGTGGAGAATGTTAGAAGACAGACCTAGAAAATCAATTAATTCGGGGGGGGGGGGGGGGGGGTGTTGATATAAGTTTACTGCATATAGGATTATACATACATCACTTAATAGCAATGATGAAAGAAGACATAAAGTATAGTATAGTATAATATCAAATAGGGGACAATTATCTAATATATAATAAGGGGGATTCATTTATGATGGCTATCAGAATAGTATCTCGGGCACAAACACCAGCTACATAATAAGGGGGATACATTTATGATGGCTACCAGAACAGTATCTAGGGTGTCATTTTCTGAAATACTAGGGGAGCATATGATAACCCTATACAGCATGTTCTTTTACTTTCAAATGTTCTGCATCAAACTCAGTAATACCCATACCTTGTGCCACACATATACCTCCCTTTACACTTGATGTTAAAGGTCAAATACCAGGTAGTTTCCCTGGTTAGGATCCATCATCCTGGAAGCCTTGATCACTTTCAGTCTTATAAAGTGTGTGTATCTCATCTGTTTCAAAGATATAACACGGAATCAAAGTCCCTAGGGGTGGGGCCAGACCCCACAGCCAATTCTTACATCACGATTGTGTTTATCTCTCTAGGCTCAGCAATGTTATACATGGTTTTGGGATGGGGATTTAAACTGTTTTCGAGATCCCCCATTGATATAAAATTGAGTTCCCTTCACTCAAAGACGCTTCTGACCAAATTTGGGCAAAATCCAATGATTCCTACTGGAGGTGTAGGATTTTACAGAATTTGCTCTATTTCCCCGAATGGGCCCCGCCTCCATCGCCCCAAGGGGCCGCGATCCACTGTTTATATAAAATTGATAGGATCTAACATGAACAAATACGCATACAGTAATGTGTGAAATGAAGGATTGCTGTAAGTATGATTGTATCATGATTATGTAAGGCAAACGTCACACAAATATAATGCATGCCTTTATCAAAAATAAGATTTTATTTTAAATATGTGTACAATAGATGTTAAAACTGCCAGTCATCAATAATTTGGCTCATATATCTGTTATACAAATTTTGTACAGATCCATACATTATACAATTTGAGATGATGAAGCTGATATAATTACAAAATGAGAAAACATATCTTTATAGAAAATTTGGTTCATCAGTATCTTTATGTACAGTGTGATAAAATGAAACAAAGGTAAATTTACCTATACCCAGCTGGTCTCCTCTGTGGCAGGTGTGATCCCTGCTCTCTTGTTATATAGTACATTCAATTTATTTCCGTAAGTTATACAATTATTGAATAAATAACAGTTAAAAGGACAAAGACACTCACACTCTTACCATCACGCACACTTTGTCACCATTCATAACGTTGGTGTCACAGTTTTGGTGAAAACCACGAAAATACTAATTAAATTGTGACAATAAATCTTTCCTACGTTTATTTGCTGATGTTAGATACTTTCCTAAATTTTTAAGTTCTTTTAGATTTTCGACTTTGAGTAACTGAATTAATCTAAACATACTGGACTTATTTAAATAGTATGACTTAATCAATTTGGTACGAATATCTGCATAACACTGACATTTAACAATAAAATAATATTGGTCTTATATATCTTCCTTCCCTTGGTACATCCTGGTATCGCCCACGTTCAATTGCTAAAGGATCTTAGAAATAGGTTTCTGAACATTACAATTAACTGGCTTATGTAGGTATGACTGGAATTTGATACTTTCAACCAGATGTTGGTATAAAAAACCTTTTAGACGAAGAATTAACTTTCATAAGATATTCTTGTTGAAAACTGTCAAATAAACCTTATATAATACGTGTACTGCTTGACCATGGCAATGTGTCATTAACTAATTTCTTATTTCAGTCACAATGACACCTGAACAGGTAAATGTACCTATGACTATTTTTGTGATTTACTTCCTCATATTAACGCTGTACATTGTGGAAAAAACCTAAAAACAATTTTTAAAAAGTGCTTCTTTGCATACATTTTTAAAAATGAGATATTTCTCTATATTTCACTGGGAAAAATGTAATAAAAATATTCAATAAATCGTGTAAGTTAACATTAGAGCCGTCATAACGTTAAAAAAGATCACGCTTTTACGCAGTTTTTCGTTTTGTTTTGTTTTTGTTTTTTAAAGATTGATTTGATTTGCGAAAATGTCTGTGACCTTAAGGTAATATGTTCTTGTAACTAATCAGGTTATGTTATAAAACATGCATTACGCCATCCAAATTCTTACTAAGCTAGGCTGATCGGCATCAATGTTTCCTTAATACTTGTAAGACAGTTGAAATACCGTTTTCTTTTCCTAACAAGAAAACCACTATGATTTCAATAACATACGACACATACTTACTTTTTATTGCGTGTTTTTCTTCGTTGGATAATTTCTCTTGTAAACACGGAGAATGAAATGTCATCATTGATGTTCAGGATGAGATTCGATAGTTTGGTAGAGATGTATTTTGAAAAGTTTTTTATTGTCAACACACAAACAGCGGCTGAAAGCTGCTAGCTTTTCGCTAACGTCTGTTTGTTTTATCGAGAAAAGAGTACATTTGACAAAGTCTTCACGTCAGATCACTATTCAGTGAATGGACAAAAGTACATAAACAGCTGTCAATTTGTCATGACGCATTCTCTCCCATTAAGTCTCTTATGCTGAAGACGGTATCGCAAAAAGCTCCGAATACAGTTTTCAGATGCTGTTAATGTCCTTGTTCAATGTCTTTCTGACAGGATCGGCTTGTGTACTCATCCCCTTTTGTAAGTCAGAAGATTTGTATTAAGAGAATAGATAAGAGCCACTCTTTTATAGAATAAATAAGAAACAAACGTCACTTTTAATTTCAACAAAGTTCACAACAATCTCATGCCAAACTACCATACCTCTTTGTATCCTGTTTACTTTGCGAAGATTCACATATACAGCAACTACTGTCTAATTAATATCATTTTCTGCCTTTACTCTACGATAGGATTTATAAAGTCTCTTCGTACACTTTAAACGTAAAACATCTCATTGATTAATAATTTCTGATAGGAAACGAAAGAAGGTATGTGCCAGACTAAGGAATTATGTACACTAAAGAGCGATTATCAATATCGTCCCTGTAGACATCTCTACATCCATTTATAAAAAGAATGCAGATCTGGGAATTAAAATTTACCTGCAGTTAAATCTACATGGAATTTCAGGATTATCAAAAACGAAAAGTGAAAGATCTACACACAGTATATATTCGCTTTAATAATGGATTTTAATTTCTTTCACTCTATCCTCATTCTCCCTCCCTCGATATCAGTCCCTTCCTATCCTCATTCTCCCTCCCTCAATATCAGTCCCTTCCCATCCTCATTCTCCCTCCCCCGATATCAGTCCCTTCCTATCCTCGTTCTTCCTCTCTCCATATCAGTCCCTTCCTATCCTCATTCTCCTTCTCTTGATATTAGTCCTTTCATATCCTCATTCTGCCTCCCTCGATATCAGTCCCTTCCCATCCTCATTCTCCCTCCCCCGATATCAGTCCCTTCCTATCCTCGTTCTTCCTCTCTCCATATCAGTCCCTTCCTATCCTCATTCTCCTTCTCTTGATATCAGTCCTTTCCTATCCTCATTCTGCCTCCCTCGATATCAGTCCCTTCCCATCCTCATTCTCCCTCCCATGCCAAGTTCGCCAGATTCACAAGTAAGAAATGCTGAAGACGATATAATGCAGTAATTTGAACGATCTTTTATAATGGTTGATGTGTCCATTGAAGGTTAAGTATTTATACCATAAAAGCAATGAAAACATACTAAAATATTATGAAATCGAGTGGAAAGATATTTCTTTACAGATTCTCCGTGAATTATTGCTGTTGGCGTCCAGTTGGTTTGTCGTAAAACGTTGCAGACTGATGTCTTTCCCATCCATGTGCTGCGTGTTTCTGTAGAGAGGCTGTCCGTTGGCAGGACTGTATGTACCCCAAACCCTCTTCACGGCCAGTTTAAACTTTGTGGAGGTAAGACTATAAATAACAGGATTACCAGCACTGTTGAGGTAGAACATGACCCGGACAAAGGCTAAGAGATTGAAGTAACCTTCCATGCCGAGTGCCTCCACGTTGTTAGGTGGAGCAAATATAACCCACAATGTTACTACTCGCAATGGAAACATAGAAAGGAAAAATAACAATACGATGGCCACTAACATTCTCACCACCTGATGACGTGTTCGGATGTTATATATTGAGCTTGGATTTTTACGCGACAGAATAGATGTGGAGTCGTATATTAGACATCGGATGATTTTGGCGTACATGAAGACAAGGACGAACAGAGGCACTGCAAAGAAAATGGAAAGCATCGACAGGAGGTAGCCATATTGCCATGCCTCCTCGACTTTTGTGCGACAAACCTGACACGGAGACCCGTCGTAGAAGATCGCGTCCTCAACAGTTGTCATAAAGACAAAAGGTATTGCTGTAAGACAGGATAGTGTCCAGATCACACCTATTATCTTGGCAACCACACGAGCTTTGAACTTGAGCGTTCTCTTTAAAGGGAAACATATTGCGTTGAATCTTTCTGTGGTGATGGCGAGGATGGTCAGAACAGAGGCGTGAACTACTGCATTCTCCAGCAACGGTATAGCTTTACCTGAAAAGAGAGAACAGAGACTGACAAATCGATAAAGATTTTCTGTCACTCATTACTCATTCCTCTCCGTAGTTTTCTTTCGAAAACAATCTAGAAGATGTTTATGAACTGCTTCTGAATATAATGTAGTAATATGCTCAAATCATATGGATACTTGGTCTCTGTTTACACAATAATTATGTTTGTCTACATTAAAAAACATAGTCAATACTTGTACAATTTGGTTCTACCTACCAAGTTTAAACATTAATGGATGTTTTAGTTTCCCCTTCAAAGGTAAAATTAAGAGTTCGGAAATGGTAGGGTATTTCAAAATCGCTTTCAAAAGTGAAACATAAGATTTGGTCCATAGTGGGGTGCTTTGACGTCTTCAAATGTAACATATATTGGTGGATCAATAGTGGGGTGATTCAGCTTTATCTCCATAGGAGAAATATGAGAGTCGATCAATGATATGATATTTTAACTTTGTCTTCGAAAGCATAACACAAGATTTGGTTTCTTGTGACGTGTTTATAAAAGTCGGTCAACGATATATACAACGATAAATTGATACAGTTTTATAATTAAAAGACATTAATCGTGCAGTACGCGAACGCCAGACATAAAAGAGCACATTTTCGTATTATTAGAATGTATATTAAACATTACGACGTTTTAAACTAAAAGTCAGAAATGATTTTTAGCCGTTCATTTCATTAATGTTTTGAGTAGTAAAAAACTTAATCAACTTGAAAACAATTGGCTTTTGTAATAATATGGTTTAATAAACTGGTATCTTAGGTAACGATAAAAGTTGCACATTAAAATAAGATTTAATTCGTCTTCAATGTCATCTGAGTTACATAAGTTACACATTTTTTGGTCCCTCTGGTGATTATGATTCCTATCGTAGACAACTTATTAATGTTGTTTGTTTTGATATTATGCTACCGACCGAACAAAAATGTATTTCATAAGAAAGTGACAGAAATATTGCTCATGATTGTATACATAACAAGTCAGTGTTAATCACGCTACATGATCCGCCTTTGATGTGCATTACAATTCGTATTTTTTTCCTTGAAAAATCTTACAAAATATTCCCCAGTTGATTGGTTGATTTTTAGACGTTTATCGATTGGTTGATTTTTAGATGTGTACTGATTGGTTGATTTTCAGACGTTTATCGATTGGTTGATTTTCAGACGTTTATCGATTGGTTGATTTTTAGACGTTTACTGATTGGTTGATTTTCAGACGTTTATCGATTGGTTGATTTTTTAGACGTTTACTGATTGGTTGATTTTTAGACGTTTATCGATTGGTTGATTTTTAGACGTTTACGTAATAAAAGTATTAATGCTTGTGATACATTTATCATATCATCGCGTGTTGTGTAGTAAATTATAAATTATTCATTGGAATTCTAATAAATCGTATTACATCCTACCAATCATATAATGGTTCCTAGTATGTCACTGCGGATGATAAAGAGATTTTTTTTTCAATTATTGAATATAAGTAAGGATTTTGGAAGGGTAGTTGAGTCGGGGAGGGAAGTACGTGTTGTGTTTCATAGGTAAGGTGTTTGACCGCGTTTGGCACAAAAGCCTGATTCACTGATTAACATTAAAATGGATGGAAAAGTGATTTTTTTTAAACTAACGAACGGAGAGGAAACAGAATGTCATTATTATCAATGAAAATTGATGCAGACGTACTCCAAGGTGTGATCTTAGGACCTGTCCAGTTTTCAGTTTATATAAATGACATTGTGTAAGTATCTCTATATTTATTGACCTCTTTGTAGATGACACCTCAATTTATGTTATTGTGTAAATATTCTTATTAGCAGCAGAAAGTATTAATGATAATTTAGAAAGAAAATCGATGTATGGTCTGAAACATGGCTACTTCATTTTTATATATCAACGAAAACAAAAAACATAAGCTCTTTACAATGCCGACATATTCAAGAGGGATTTCCGTGATGGATGTCGATATTCAAGAGGGGTTTCCGTGATGGATGTCGATATTCAAGAGGTGTTTCCATGATGGATGTCGATATTCAAGAGGGGTTTGCCTGATGGATGTCGATATTCAAGAGGGGTTTCCGTGATGGATGTCGATATTCAGGTGGGATTTCCGTATGTTATGGATGTTATCTCCGACACAGATACATCCGATACAGATACAGATATATCCGATACAGATATATATATATCCGATACAGATATATCCGATACAGATACATATATATCCGATACAGATATATCCGATACAGATACAGATATATTCGATACAGATATATATATATATATCCGATACAGATACAGATATATCCGATACAGATACATATATATCCGATACAGATATATCCGATACAGATACATATATATCCGATACAGATATATCCGATACAGATACAGATATATTCGATACAGATATATCCGATACAGATATAGATATATCCGATACAGATATATCCGATACAGATACATATATATCCGATACAGATACAGATATATCCGATACAGATACATATATATCCGATACAGATACAGATATATCCGATACAAATACAGATATATCCGATATAGATATAGATATATCCGATACAGATACAGATATATCCGATACAGATATAGATATATCCGATACAGATATATCCGATACAGATATAGATATATCCGATACAGATACATATATATCCGATACAGATACAGATATATCCGATACAGATACATATATATCCGATACAGATACAGATATATCCGATACAGATATAGATATATCCGATACAGATATATCCGATACAGATACAGATATATCCGATACAGATATAGATATATCCGATACAGATATATCCGATACAGATACATATATATCCGATACAGATACAGATATATCCGATACAGATACAGATATATCCGATACAGATATATCCGATACAGATATAGATATATCCGATACAGATATATCCGATACAGATATAGATATATCCGATACAGATACATATATATCCGATACAGATACAGATATATCCGATACAGATACATATATATCCGATACAGATACATATATATCCGATACAGATATATCCGATACAGATACATATATATCCGATATAGATATAGATATATCCGATATAGATATAGATATATCCGATACAGATATATCCGATATAGATATATATAGATATATCCGATATAGATATATCCGATACAGATACATATATATCCGATATAGATATAGATATATCCGATATAGATATATCCGATATAGATATAGATATATCCGACACAGATATATCCGATATAGATATAGATATCCGATATAGATATATCCGATATAGATATAGATATATCCGATATAGATATAGATATATATACACAGATATATCCGATATAGATATAGATATATCCGATATAGATATATCCGATATAGATATAGATATATCCGATACAGATATATCCGATATAGATATAGATATATCCGATATAGATATAGATATATCCGATACAGATATATCCGATACAGATACAGATATATCCGATATAGATATAGATATATCCGATACAGATACAGATATATCCGATATAGATATAGATATATCCGATATAGATATAGATATATCCGATACAGATATATCCGACACAGATATAGATATATCCGATACAGATATAGATATACCCGACACAGATATAGATATATCCGACACAGATACAGATATATCCGATACAGATATATCCGATATAGATATAGATATATCCGATACAGATACATATATATCCGATACAGATACAGATATATCCGATATAGATATATCCGATATAGATATAGATATATCCGATATTGATATAGATATATCCGATATAGATATAGATATATCCGATATAGATATAGATATATCCGATATAGATATAGATATATCCGACACAGATATATCCGATATAGATATAGATATATCCGATATAGATATAGATATATCCGATATAGATATATCCGATACAGATACAGATATATCCGATATAGATATAGATATATCCGATACAGATATATCCGATATAGATATAGATATATCCGATATAGATATAGATATATCCGATATAGATATAGATATATCCGATACAGATATATCCGATATAGATATAGATATATCCGATACAGATATAGATATATCCGATATAGATATAGATATATCCGATACAGATATATCCGATACAGATATAGATATATCCGATATAGATATAGATATATCCGATATAGATATATCCGATATAGATATAGATATATCCGATATAGATATATCCGATACAGATATAGATATATCCGATATAGATACATATATATCCGATACAGATATAGATATATCCGATACAGATACATATATATCCGATACAGATACAGATATATCCGATACAGATATATATATCCGATACAGATATATCCGATACAGATATAGATATATCCGATACAGATATAGATATATCCGATACAGATATATCCGATACAGATACATATATATCCGATATACAGATACAGATATATCCGATACAGATATAGATATATCCGATACAGATATATCCGATACATATATATCCGATACAGATACAGATATATCCGATACAGATACATATATATCCGATACAGATACAGATATATCCGATACAGATACATATATATCCGATACAGATACATATATATCCGATATAGATACATATATATCCGATATAGATATAGATATATCCGATATAGATATAGATATATCCGATATAGATATAGATATATCCGATATAGATATATCCGATATAGATATAGATATATCCGATATAGATATATCCGATACAGATACATATATATCCGATATAGATATAGATATATCCGATATAGATATAGATATATCCGATACAGATATATCCGATATAGATATATCCGATATAGATATATCCGATATAGATATAGATATATCCGATACAGATATAGATATATCCGATATAGATATAGATATATCCGAC